AAAAAAAAAAAAAAAAAAAAAAAAAAAAAAAAAAAAAAAAAAAAAAAAAAAAAAAAATAAGATTACTACAAATTATTTTGATATTCTTGATTTTTTTTTTAATAGTAATAACATTAAAAAGCGTACTATCTAAATCTTGCTCTCTCTCACCTTACGATGTTATATTATATGATATACAGTATAATATAACTTGCTTTTAATGTACATCAATACTTACAGTCGACACATTAAGTGTGTTTTTTTTTGTACAGATAAAAATAAACATATTTAAAAAATGTATTAATTGTTGTGATAATATTACCTGTGACGACCTCACGTATAATATATACTTAATACACTAAGTTATAGTTGTTGCGGACAACTTAAAATTTGATAGGTCAACTGCGTGACGGAACCGTAGTAAAGGATTTTGAGAGTCTAATTTCATCATCTCAAGAATCGAGAAATTCAAGACCATGTCTTTACAATTAAGATGAAATATAACGATTTTTTATTTAAAAGCTTTTAGATAACTAATAAGATTACATTAAAAATTTGTAAGAAACGAATATTTTTAGTTTTTATCGAAGAAATATACACGTACAGTTATTGGTCTATTACTCAAATATATTTTTATTTTTCGGATATGAAATAATTAGGGTGTTATTAAATTCAAACAAAACCTATTGTTACTACACATTAAAGACCCTATTTCATAACACTTTCTATATTAATATCCTCACATATAATACTGTTATACATTACGATAATAATATAAACATATTAATTATCTTATATATTAATACCTGTACATCTCAAATAAATGCCTTTATTGCATTAATAATTGGTGATGATAGATTTGTAACTATTTTTATACAAATTATTTATTTCTTATTCAAAATATTGGAGAACACTCGTAATTCACACCCTGTATCTAAGAAAATGATTTTACGAGGTTTTACGAATCAATAAAAAAATTTTATTTATTCTGATTAGAGCATTCTAATTATGCGTTCTTCTAAACATTATCAATAGTCTATTTTTGTTATGAATGTTACTCCTATTTTTGTGAAATTTATGTGTGGGATGCAAATGAGTTAGAATCATAGAATTTGTACCAAAAACCAACTGTTTCGACGCGGTTTAACATTGCATTTTATTTAAATTTTAATTGAAAAAGTTGCACGTTTTCATTTTGTTTTTGTTAAACATGACTAAACTGTATTTATCTGGTTCCAAGATAAGGTTCAATTCATCAAGTATCTCACACAGCTTCTTAATTTATCTTTCAAGGATTACAATAGCCTCTCGAAATCTGTTACATTTTTGAATAAAAATTTTATATTCACGAGGTCGAATATTACAATAACTGCATTAACTAACAATGAGAATGTTGTAAAAATTGCTCGCTATTGTTGGCTACACTAAACGATGTTCTGTAATGTACTAATATCTTGAAGCATTTGAAAATCTTATCACACAAGTTTACTAATCTATACATAATTTAGAATCTTATAGATGACACACGTGAATGAGATTTTTCAATTTTGCATGAATCGATTATTAAATCAGAATCATATAACTTAAATGAATGTAAAATAAAATATAAAATGAGTTAAAAACGAGCTACGTATATAGAAGTATAGGTACATGAAAAAAAAAAATTTTTTTTGAGAGGCATTAAAATTTTTTTTTTATTTCCGAAGTTTACAAAATTGCTTCATAAAGATTAGTATAAGCAAGTATTTTTATAATCAGAACACTGTAAAATCTTACAAAAAATTTTAATAAAAAATAAATTACAATCATCATGAATTGAAGATACTATTTTTTAAAGGTTTTTTATTTCACATGTATTTGTTGGTAGTTTTTCTAAAAAAAAATCTGTGAAACTTCGCAGCTGTTTCAGTTATAATAATCTTTACAATTTTTTGTACTCTGTGTTGGCTCGGAAAATTTCAGATGCCAATATTTTCTCTATGAAGGGCTGCGCACTACTGAAGTCATTAAAAAAATATTTTACATTAAGTCATTGAAAGTCTTTTCAAAGACTTCAAAAAAGTCTCAAAAAGACTTCAAAGTGCGCAGCCCCTCGCTATAAACGTACTATACAGTATCAATAATTGTTATAAAGTGCAGAATCTTCCACGAGATATATAAACTTATTTACACATTTAAGACTCATTTTCTCAATAAATAAAAGAGACATTTATATCTTACACTGACTGATCAACGTTCCTGTATCCTCATTTTTTTTTTTTTCCAATGACGACACGTGCAGGTTCTAAATGTTTCAACTTACCAAAAATAAATCAGTCATAAAATTATTGACATATCAAGATTACCAGTGAAAGAATAAAATTTTTTAACAGAATATTTCTTACTTCGCAAAATTGGCTTCATGTCACTCTACAAAAGTTTTATAATAACTTTATGATGCACTTGGCTGAAACTAACTTTTTTTACGAAATCGTTTAACTCAGCAGTTAAAATTTTTAGGGATTTGACAGAGTATTTTTAATAAAAAAAGACTATAAAAATGTATAAACGTTTGCGCTGCTACGTAGTAGAAAATGTGAAAATTTCATCCATTTCCCAAAAATGATTTTTTAGCCATAAACCCGCTCTAAAAGTTCTTCGTTAGTATAAAATCTAATTAGTATAGCTTTAACTAAAAATCTTAATCACAAAACCCGAATAAAAATTAAATTAACACATGGTGCCAGATGTATTTTGTTTTTCTACTCACATAATATGGAGTTTTTAACTATTTTAAGAAATAATTTTTTTAATCGTTGTTCTAGTAGTTTTTAATACGCTTAAAAATAACTAAACTATATTGGGTAAGTATAGTTTGTATATTACAATCTATTTAATTTTAAAAAAATTTAGTAGTCTAAACGATTGTGAAGATAACTCTACGATGTAAAAAAATTAAAAAATACCAAAAACTGTAAATCGTTTTCAAAAAACCTAAAAAAATGTAGTAAATGGTTGTAACTCTACACAATGCGATTGAATAATTTGTAAGGAAATGAAATCGTTTAACTG